AAGACTTCCATGCTGTCAAACTCAGCATTTTCTTTACAATATCTTAAGAACTGAACATTTTTTGTCTTACTGCAAAAAAGTCAAAGAATATGGCCAATAAATTACAAAGAGTTTGCCATTATCAGGATTTTGGAACGTTACGTTCAAGACCAGATTCCTGGCGCAAAAGTCGTGGTAGAATCCATTGGTGCTCGCAGATATGGTGATGGATATTCCGAAGAAGATTATTCCAAATCTGACCTCATGATCTATGCAATCGATCCTCAGACAAACCGTGCCATAATGAGGAATGAGCTTTTCAAGTAAGTAGATAAATACATTGCAGCGCTGAATGTCATTTGAGAAAATAGGCCTTGGTATCCAGGCACTGACTGCATTTGTTGCAAAATTAGCATTTCTGTTCTTTTATGTGCCTACTGTTTAAAGCTGCAGATAATATCATACAGGGACCATATGAAAAATTTGAATGCCACACCACTGCAATTACTTAAGAGATCACCTTTGGACTTGAAAATAGCACTGTCTTGATTTAGGGCTTGTGTTCTGATGAATGCACAGACTCAAATAAGGATAATGCCAGAAAGCATTTTGTAGTCTAAACGTTATCTATCTGCTTATGGTACATTTCAAGCAGACATATGACCACATATGCTGAATTTCACACATAGTTTATTGTCAAAACCAACTGTTGTACCTCATTTATGACACATTTGCAGTAATGTATTTGTATTCTGTTATTCATAAGATTGTTCTTCACTATATTTCTGTGATTCAAATGTATGAGGTTTTGTACCTGCGCAGTTCCAAATGTTTCAGAGACTCAGGGGTTTTTTTGACAAAACCCTGGCTTACTATAGATCACATATGAGACTGTAACTGAAGAGATGAATGGTCCCAAATCTGCTGTTCAGAAATTTAACCAATGAGGTGGCTTTCAGCAGTTGCTATTTCCCTCATTAGCATCAGATTTTTTTTTTTTTAATTCATTCAATCGTATCCAATTCTTGGAGATAAGAGATGAATGGTCCCAAATCTGCTGTTCAGAAATTTAACCAATGAGGTGGCTTTCAGCAGTTGCTATTTCCCTCATTAGCATCAGATTTTTTTTTTTTTAATTCATTCAATCGTATCCAATTCTTGGAGATTGCCTGGACAAGTCCCTGCAGTTTTCTTGACAAGGTTTTTCAGAAGTGGTTTGCCATTGTCTCCTCCCTAGGGCTGAGAGAAAGTGACTGGCCCAAGGTCATCCAGCTGGTTTTGGGCCTAGAGCTCCTGGTCTCCTGGTTTCTAGCCTGATGCCTTAACCACTGCATCAGACTCGCTCTCTATAGCATCAGAATAGGAGAGGTCAAGACAGCAGAGGCAGAACAAGAGGTGCTAACACCGTTGTCAATACCATGGAACCAAGGCCACCAGGCTAGGACTTAAAGGCTGAATGTATGGTGTATCCACTTCCTTTCTCCCTGGATTGGACAGTTGCTTATTTTTGGAGTGCATTCTGGAACCTGGATATTAGGGCCACTTAATTTCTCAAGATCAAAGGTTCATTATTGCATTACCTCTGTGAGTTAATGGTATAATGGTCCTTCTGGGACCAAGGCCACAAAAGGTACAGGCAATTTATTGCAGTGAGAGGCAGTGGAAAAGTGCAGAGTTACTGGATCTATCTGGGACTGGCATACCAACTGGGAAGCCTCCTCAGATGTTGATGTGGTCTCCAGCCTTGAGGTACTTTGCTTACATTTTATTGTATCTCCACTGCACTAAGGAGAACTAGGCCAGAATGCCTGGTGATGGAATGTGATTTTTGCTAACCATATACTTAAGAAGCAACTGTTTGTGAGCTAACAAACAAATTGTGATTTATTGGCAGTATTTTTTCTCTAGAGTTTCAAACCTTGGGTGGGTAAATTAATAGTGACATACAAGAATATGTTGATGTTGAGAAGAAAATTGGCATATTGTCACTTGATGGATAGAGAGAGAGGTTACAAATAGCTATGGTATTAAAATAAGAAAGAATACTCTTTATGATCTACCAATAGCAAATATATAGACTGACAGTGACAAATGTGTGAACATAGAACTAAACAAAAAAACATTTGCGGGTTTTTTTGGTGGTGGTGGTGGTGCTGCTGCAAAACATTTGCATCATTGGTTCACTCTTCTTCCACTCCTGATTTTGAAATAAATATATGGTAGACTGCATTTAACTGCATTTAAAAATATAATGTAAATAGTCATCTATGTCATTCAGCACAACCATTTCTTAAGATAGGAATAATTTTGTAAGTATATTACCTATTTTATTCTGCATTATGCCAGTGTGATATTTCTACG